AAAACAAACAAACAATCCATTTACTACAAAAATGGAATAGGAGAAATGTTTGTTCTATGCCTATTACCACTACTGCTGCGCCATCTGTGACTGTAGATCTCCCTGGACTACCGAAACCATGACACTACCAAATCCAGTATCAGAATTTTGCTGATCAATTCAATAACATCACCTACTTGGGAAATTGCTGACTTGTGATAAATAGTTATCATGAGAAGCATATCAGACTCAGTCTGAATCAAGTTCCATACCAAACAAGTGTAATAGTGGACACTAAGCTATTCATCTTGTTGCTTTTTTAAAATGACACATTTTAACAGCATTAAGTAACTTTCCAGATAAGAGCTATAACAGCTGTCAAACATTGGTAGCTACATTATTCAACAGATTTGGAGTGCCACACTAGAAGAAAGTATCCAAAGCAAAGTTCTGGAACAAATTACGAAGGAAGGAAGATGCCTTAGCAGAACTTGTATAAGATTGTGGAAGTTTTTTCAATTATCTTACCCAGATGTTCCACGTGAAATGATGGATTTGTTTCCATGTAACAAATTTATATATGCCATAACATATGAGTTTATGAGAATTAGGATGAAACAAACAACATGTAAATCTTTAAGGAAGATACTCAGTTGGTGATGAAACTTGATACACTACTAAAAGCACCATTTACAAGTTATAGCATCATCAGATCCTTTAGTATTGAGATAGCAACTCCCTCTAATGACAGTCTAGAATAACTGAAAGAATTAAGCAGACAGCTAATTATAGAGATTGGAGAAAATAACACACAAAACAATAGATGTTTAAAGTGTAACCTGAAAGGATGTATTATCCTGAACTATAAACAACATCCAGCATAGAATAAGAACTCCTCCCAAAAGATACCAGAAACAGGAAACTGTCAAAATTGAGAGAGTTATTAGCAATAAATCTTCATCTAGTGACTGAATTGTAGTGGAACAAAACACTCTAACGTGTCCTATGGAATTGGTACTTGGAAGAACTCTTATGGGTATAAAGAATAAAAATGTCATATATGACTTTACTCAGGAAAGACTTAAATCAGTTTATAATAAAATGAAAAATTGCTACGATGTCATGTTGATAAACTGGATTGTATCGAGTATGGTATGGTTGAACAATTCTCATCACAAGAAAAGACAAACTTGAAAATTAAATAGTTGTTGGAAGGTCCTTACTCTCTATTGAAAATAATAAATGGTGTAGATTACATAATCCAGAAGGACAGATGTTCCATATGAAATGTTAACCATTGTTGTCATCTTTGGAAATACATTGGTGGAAAATTGGTAACTGGGTAACTCCAGAGAAGAATTTGTGAGTATAAAGTCAACCCACTGAGGAGCTCAGGATTGTTTCGATACTACTTTTAGAGGAACAATAAAAATATAGCCAACAGTGTGTTCATTCGATGACCTATCTGGGAAGAAGTCACAGCAACAAGACAGCTAGCGATGATAAGCAACAAAAGGTAATCACATCTGCATACCATGAACCTCAGAATAGAAAAACACCAAAAATACTTGGTGAATGAATACTTTAGTGTTGGTTTTTTGTATTAGGATTGTTCAAGAGCCTTCACAGTTCAGGAAGAGTGAGTGTTGTAAGCTGTATTTTAAATGTTCTAATTTAGATGTTAACTAGAAGAATTGCTAATAATGATGATGTAATGACCGAGAGACTTTGCAAAATATCGAGAAACAACGATATAGTAATAAATATGAGTAAGAATTTGATAGTGTATCAGTATGTTAAAAAAAGTTAAACTTCAGTGAAGCATTCATTTCATTAGTGAGTGAGAATTCAGAGAAGGTAGTTTGTGATCACGTATATTAACTTATTCCATCTGTCAGCCAAGAAATGCTGTTAAAAGTGAACAATTTATTTGTGAACTTAGATCTGCAACTGTGTGCAAGTGGAAGTAACATGTAGTAATTGCTAAGGAAGAAATAAACTCGTTTTTAACACTATTAACCAGATTTGGCCTTATTTTTCATTATAATACCCAAAAGAACCAATAATATACTGATACGACAGCGGAAGTCACGTGACGCTAGTAACACGTCATGAACTTCTAGAATGTTCACGTCCCTTCCTGAAGTCTCGAGGGGGTATTAGATATGCGGTAGTATTGTATATATAAGCCGCCAAGAATTGATGGCAACAATGTGTAATTGAACTGCGGACAGAGAAAGAGACTGATAATTGAGTCGAGTGAGCACGTGAGACGTTCATTGTGAATTACAGCGTTTGTTATAGCATGGCTGTGGAAATTACGTGTATTGCAAAGTTGTATTCAGAGTGTCAGCAATAGGGGGATTTAGTACGAAGGAAGCCACAGGAATCCTACATTAAGTCCAGCATAGAGGTACCAAGGTTGGTACAGTCAT